ATATCACTTTGAAATGAGGCTGCTATTGTATTGGCCAATACTGTATTTGTGTGTATGTATGTATGTACATGCTTACATATAGGACAATTGGTAAAATTTTTTAAATCATTTTTCCATTACTTAATTTGGCGAAATTTCTGTGTTGAATGTATGAGTAGTTTATATCTATACTTATTTGGGATCAAAATAGTCTATACTTACATAAATTTATCCAAATTATCTATATATGTCTATATACTTACAAATATATTAACAATATGAAAATATGGACGTCGATTTTCGTATTGTCTGTGATATGAAAATATATCTACTAAGGGTCTATATTTATACTCACATATGTACATCGTTATCTATGTAGTACATAAACGCTGGGTCTATTTGATGTTCGTATTTTCCTCTTGTATGCAGTTGCTATTTAAAATGTAATATTTTACTCTATTAATGGGTGCTATATTATATATAGAAAACATTTTCTTTACTCTGAAGTTATTGGAAAATTTAGTGTAAATTTTTGCCTGCCATACATATTTTTTTCCTAAGGATATTGAGATATTTTTCTTGTATTTCCCGATCTTCTTTCTACTCTTTGGTCTTCATTATTTGCTACACAAACATACATACATACAATACAATCGATGTTAGAAAGGTGGAAAAACGTAAAACAAAATAGGGCTACTAAATTGTTAAGACGTTTGGTATTTGCCAAAAGGTGCATTCAAGAATTTGTAGTTTAGTCACTTTTCAAGGCGTCCAAGTTTCGGCATTGAATTTGCCTTTAAATTTGATTCTAATTTTGGATTTTTTTTTTTTTATTCTTAGCAATTCTGACATTTTATGAATTTTGTGAATACACCCTTTTTATAAATGGTTAGTTCACTTACAATCTTCCTTTTTTGTTCTTAACCAAATTTATGTTAGTTATTTTTTAATTTGTCTTTTTGAAGTCCGCCAGAATGCTCTAAAGTTAAGGATTACTCAAAACTAAAATTTGTGGCTTTCCATCGAGTTATTGTCTCATTTAAAGAACTTCCTGTAACTCAAAAAATTAAGAAAATCAAAACATAAAAGTAACTTGCATACAAATTTTAAAATTTTTTACACTTTTGATGTTTACCAAATTTTCCAGTTTAGGAGAATACCCTCAGTGCTGTTTCCCACGCTCCGGTGTCCTTCATTTTGTATCGGCAATAGGGAACGTGTGATACGGCAAATATAATTTCCAATAATTTTGATTGAGTTGCATGTACTTACATACGTATAAAATACGTTTTTCTTAACGATCTACATACAGACATACATCTGCAAACTTTTTCAGGTCTCGTCATCGAATAAAACATAACTCATCTTTTGTAAATAAATACCTTCATAAGTGAATGTTGGACACTTCTCTTTAAATATGACGTTTAAATTATTTTCATTCCAAAAACAGCTAGTAATGCATGTGTTTTTTTAATAGCTTATAGGCAAAAATAGTTATATAGAAAACATGTATATAATATTTATATGTAAAGAAAAAAAACCTAATTCGGCAAAGAAACGTCCACGCTTTCAGAACTTGAATATTAATTAATTTTGTAGGTAGTAAGGGTATTCATAAAAAACATACCATAAGGCTTATTGTTGTATTGTACCTCCCGTAAGATATTTTTCAACATTTCAAATAAATAATGCAAAGACTAGCCGCCATTTCACCGAAAAAATTTCAAGATAACGAATCGGATGCGAAATGAATTTATTTTCAATGAGCAAAATGCTATATATAAACTGCTGAATTGTTAGTTTTAATGAAAAAAAAATGAAATCATGCCCTAGCAAACGGGGAATAATTCTTGAATCTTAATTTTTCATTCAAAAGCCTTTTTACACAGTAAAAAATTTGCTTTTATATGTATTAAAAGCAGTTAAAATAAAAGATGCGCCCTAAATTTAGTTGAATGCATTTTCTTCATAGGATAATTAAGTCTCAGAGCTACTCACAGTTTCAGGTAACAGCAGATTTCGTTTTTTATTAAAATTTGGTGCAACCCTGCGCCCAAGCCAACACATTTCTTAGATACCTACAAAATATATTTGAAGAAATAGGTGGCAACATTGCAACATTTTAAAAAATCAATATTTTTCACTAAAATGAAGCTAAAAGAGTTCGGTATTTTTTTATTTAAATTTATTACCTTTTTCGAAAATAAACAGATTAAAAATAAAAGCTCAACTGGCAAAAAATATGAAAAAAATGTTGTGAAAAAAAAGTTATTGAGTTGAAACTCGGTTATTGTGATACAATTTCTAAACATCAACTTATTTTCGAAGCTAAAAGTTTTGCTAAACCGCTAAACCATAATGTTTTCTGTTAAAAATAGGTGGCATCACTTTTGTGATCAAAAGAAAAAATTCTTAAACTCTTAAAAAAATGGTTATAACTTTGGTTTGCTCCGCCAACTTACGCCAATTGCAAATGCCAAGTGAAGCCAAGTCCTTTTCCACCTAGTCTTTCCAACGCAAGCGGGGTCTTCCTCTTCCTCTTTTACCAGCATCGGGACCCGCGTTGAATACTTTCAGAGCTGGAGCCTTTCTGTCCATTCGAACGACATGACCTAGCCAGCGGAGCCGTTAAATTTTAATTTTCTGCACTCTATGTCGTTGTAAAGCTCATACAGCTCATCGTTAAATCGTCTGCGGTATTAGTCATCGCGCAGACTCGTAAATATTTCGCAGAATCCTTCTCGCGAAAACTCCAGAGCTGCTTAATTTCATTGTCCATGCTGTGCGGTGCCAAGCCATTCGAAAAATCATGTAGCCATAATGCCATTTCTCGAAAAATTGTATTGCGTTAAAAGTTTAATGCGAAGTTCAATTTACAAAAAAACAGGTGGCATCCCTGTACACTTTAGTGCGAACAAGTTTATTTCTCGTCTGAGTAATTATTAAATTGTTGTAGTTAAAATATTGGATGGCAACACCGAAAACAACTTCTTTTAATGCATGTAATAATTTATTCAGAAAAAATTTAACGCATTCACCTTTTGCCACTCAACGAAGCCAAATAAGTTTTACTAAACTTTAACTCTTTTTCTACAGGTGGCAATAATGTAATTTTTTGTTGCTTGAATCGTTAGTAATTTACTTCCACACTATATAAAGATGTACTTTTTGACCATAAGAGGCGACATTGCCACAAATTTATATACATATGTATTTGAGAAACATATTTTTTAATTTACTGTTTGTAGTAAAAATTATGTAAATCATATCTTATTTTATGAATTTTGTATCCTAACTCTAGAATACTACAATAACGTTAAGATTTTCGATATAAATTTGTTTTTTATCTCTTTTTAAAATGCATGTTTTCAGGGCAATTTCAACTTATTTACTATGCGCATGTGCAGCCTTACAAATCTTTATTTAAGTTTTCTACTTTTAAAATACTTATTTACAATGTTTTTTTTTACTGCTTAAAATATACTTAATTTATTTATTCTTCTCTTACTTTTAAGTCTTATCGTGCATAATGTTTACTTTTTTCATGAATTTACTACACATTCAACAATTTACTAACTCCTAATCTCCCTACACCTTTTTAGATCGGGTCATGTGTCATTGCGCGATGTTGATGCCATCGCCGAACCCGATCCACAACGTTTGACACCACGTAAATTCGTCAACGAACATGCAATTGCTACGCTGTCGGCTGGCATACTCGTCACCGTTAAGCCGAAGTACACCTCGCATGGCGCCATCAGCAATATTGTGAAATTGCAACGCTTGGGCGCCAACGATGCGACACGTCAACTCTTCCAGGCCTATCCTGGTCCGTTGGTACGTGGCCTTACACACAAGAAAACAATTATTGAATTCTGCGAGGAGCAGATACGTTTGGGTCCAATGGAGACCACAATCTATGCCAAGCAGCTGTTGTGCAATAATATCGAGAAATATCGTGGCTCATACACGCTGATGTGGAATTTGCTAATTTTGTTGCTGCGTCAAAATGGCGTAAGTGGTTTAGGGTAGCGCAGAAATATTATCAAAAATTTAATCTATTCTCTTTTATCACATTTACACAGATGGTGGTTGGCACAGATATAGCAGAGCTGCTTTTGAAAAATCAACAACAATTCCCATATCAAGCAGAAAACACTGACGATAATTCGTCTGCGCTTAGTGGCGATGAGGAGGAATCGGGAGAGGCTGCCGCACTAGAAACTGAGTCGCCCACTGCACACGAAAACACAGAACATGCTTCAGCAGCTCATGTAGATGGCGCACCAAAATCCACTACTACACCCACGACTCCACCAGCTCTGAGCGAAGCTGAGATAACCGAAAAGTTCCGCAACTATTTGCTCTATGGCAATGTAAATGAGGCGCTCGATTGGGCCACTGATAACAATCTCTGGGGTCATGCGCTCTTCCTCGCCTCCAAGGTGGATCGTCGTTCGCATGCCAATGTCATGATGAAGTTCGCCAATAAGTTGGAGTTGAACGACCCATTGCAAACACTGTATCAGTTGATGAGCGGCCGCCAGCCGTCGAGTGTGACCAGCGTGCAGGATGAGAAGTGGGGCGATTGGCGTCCACACCTTTCGATGATACTGTCGAACACGTCACAAAAGCCAGAATTGGATCGTAAATCGATAACAACGCTCGGCGATTCGTTGCTAAATCGTGGTGACCTATTTGCCGCTCACTTTTGCTATCTAATGGCACAGGTGGGATTCGGACGCTATCAGGAGAGCGCCACACAGGAGAGCACGCTGCAGCAGCATTTGCCAAAGTTAGTGGAGTGGGGAGTGGTGTTAGATTCCGAATAGCTTGCGCTTTGTGAATGTTAAAAATAATAAGTGAAGAATTATGCTTACATTAGGACTTTTAATTGATCAAGCTCCGATGGCTTTGCCCACGTTCTCCATGGTTTTCTTCTCTTTAAATTTTCTTTCCTCAAGTTCCAAGGGTTCAGTCTTTCGGTATAAACCATCTCAACAACTTCTATTTTCAGACTCGTTTTACTTGGCTCGTCTCATTATAAAACTTTCAACGATTTCGCAACCAGTGAAGCGATTATAATGACCGAAATTTATGAGTATGCTTGCTCGCTGAATGATGATAAATTCTCGGTAGTCGAGTTTCAAGTAAGTCACAGACTGGCAGACACGTAATAACCAAATTGTATCCTACTTTGTTAAATTCTTTGCAGCCTTATAAATATTTGCTGGCCACACGTTTGTTGGATTACGGCTACCATTTACGTAGCTTAATGTATTTCGAGCAAATAGCGCTACATATACAACGCGATCCAAGCAAATATGAGCCAAGCTTTATCAATAAGGTGAGTTTGTGTTCGGTTTTAAAGCTTTTCTCATGCAACTATTAAGCCTTAGACCCTTATAAACTCTTTTTACCTCTTCTCTTTTAACTTCTCACTTTCTTCTTTTCCTTTGCAGATCTACCAATTTGCTGATCGCCTCAAACACTATGATCCAGTGTTGGAGCGTTCAATCGATGATCAACAACAAAATGCCGAAGAAAATTTAAATAACAGTCAGTTACCGAGTTTTGAAGAGCAAGCATGGTTGAAAGACTTGCGTGCCATCGCAGTGCAACATAAGGTGAGAATCGAAATATTTTTGGTCCTTTGATTGTATTTACGTAGCTGTATGTGGCAACTCCATATTAAGCTTCATGTAGTATGTAGCTGTATGTAGTCAGCAGTGTTGCCAGAACTTTTTGGACGAACCGGCTAAATTGGCAAATAAAACCGGCTAAAAACAGCTAAAATGTTTCAACTAAATTTCACATGATTTATTTAAATAAATCACGAGTAAAAAGACTATTTCTTGGAGAGAAGTTACAAATTCGAGCCGGAAAAAATTTTGCCAGCAAGAATTTGCAATTAGGAAATACATATGATTGTGGCACATGGTTGGATTTTTTGTCGACGATAATTTGAATAAACAAGTTCGTTAAATTTAAAAATTTACAAACTGGGGCGATTTTAAAATGAAAAATGTAATTTAATACTCGTTTACTTAATTAATTTAGTTAATTCCAATGATTTGAAAGGTACTCGGCAAAAAAAACTATCTATTACTATTACTATCTGATATTTTGAGTGATAATTCTCGCTGGATTTTCGACGAACAAACCTATTGTCTTCCCTACAAGGCCTTTTCAGACTGACCGATACACTCAAATAGAAACCAATATACTTAAAAAACCCTGTAAAAATTTCCCTTCAATTTAAGGCAGTAAAACAACGACCTTAAGTTAATATCAACCGAAACACAAAAGAACTGGTCAGATTTTTCAGAAATCCCTTCAATTCTGATGTAAAATATGTTACCAAAAGACTGCAGATCTCCCATTTAGATGACCGGTCATATGACCATCAGATGTCTCGTAGGATTCCCAGAGAGTTTTGCTTTCCATAGAAATTTGTGCTCTTTCATTTTTATTTTGACTCACTTCAGTGTTGGTTCCTTTAAATCAAGTTGACATTCGGTTTTTGGAATTTAAATAAGTTCTCAGCAAAAAAGTTTGTTTAAAAAAATACATATGGGTATTTCCATACGTCGCATACGTGACAGTCGTACGTTTAAATGTGATACAAAAAAGGAATACCATTTGTTTTCTTTAACTATTTTGGGCATTTGTATAGCACAAAATTAGCTCTATATTTAACCGAAAAATGAAAACAATCGAACTGCTTGGTCCTGAAATATAAGCATTTAAAGAGAGTGTCGTTACGTGACAAAAAATGGAAGTTGATTTTTTCTTTTCTTACAAAATCGCAAAACTCTGCGAATTGTGGATGGCTATTTTCATGAAACTTATTTTAATACGACTTTGAGAAATTCCAGTTGCTTTTAGAGTTTTTTGAATTAATGCAACTTGTTTCAATTTTCTTTTACAACCCCAAGTGTGAAACGTCACGTGACGTGGCGTCACGTGACATGAATTTCCATCGTTATATTTTTGTTAATATTGTTTTTAAATGAATTTTTAACGCAAATAAAACATGTATTTTATGTCGAATATACTTTATATTTTGACTTCAGCGCCAATTCAGGGTCAATTTGCTGGAAATCTATGATTTATTATATTTCAACTACATACGCCAAATTCGAACCAAATCGGACCATAAATACGGTTTTTCGAAATATCTCGACCTTGGCGCCACCTAGGAAGACCATTTTACTCAAACATGATTCTACTTACATAGCCAGTATATATTTTAAAAAGCAGACAAATCGGTCTGTAAATACGTTAGATATAAGACTTTTATTTTTTTTGTCGTGGTGGACCTTCCGATGGAAACACCCATATATGTACATAGTGCTTGAAAATATCAATTTTTTCCTTACCTTAAACCTTTGGGAGTGGGCAAAAATGATGTTTTGTAATTTAGGCAGAATTGAGTATGCGCTATCTGGGAAGACAATATCTACATGTAATATTTATTCTGTTTGTTGGCACTATATCCAAACACCAACGCATCTTAAGTGTCTTAACAGTGAAACAATTTCTTATTTTCTAAGTTTGGGAATAAAACTTCACACTTAAAATTAAGATATTTATAACAAAAATTTTATGAAGAAAATCCCTTCTTCGTTTAAAATAAAAATAAGCGAAATCGGACCAGTTTCATACAACCCTGCCTGACATGAACATTTTCTCCTCGATAAGGCTAGTAGCCATTTCTAACAGATTTTAGGTCGCTTAGTCAAAAATGGAAACATATATACATATTTGAAATTTAAGAAAACAAGGCAAATAGCAAAATCGGCTAAAAACGGCTCACTTTTTTCTGCAAAACGGCTAACAAATCGGCTGCCGGCTAAATCAAAATTTCTCCGGCTGTTTGCTATCGCAACCGGCTAAATCTAGCTGGAAAACGGTTAAAATGGCAACACTGGCAGTCAGTTGCCTGAGCTAAGTTGTTCTCCGTGGATTCAGCGCTTTGCTGGGCTATTTTACAAGAATTATTGCACCCCATTTGGAAGTCAACAGTAATATAAAAAATATAGATCGCATTTAATTATTCTATTTTGCGTTTGTATTAAGCGCCGTATTGAATCTTTAGATGCGCTTCGTTATCTTGAGATTCACATTTTTACACAAATTAGCCGATTTTTGTTATTCAGCGCTGATATGTCACATTCTACTATTCATAAAATTAGGAAAATTCCCTTATTTGCTTTGAAAATCCATAAGCATGCTCTATTTTAAAAAATTCAGCTCCGTTTGAAAACATGTATGCGAATTTTTGTGTAATTCAAAAAAGTTTTGCATACAAAAGTGGTATAGCTGATAAATAAGAAGCGGTTCAATAACCCGTTTGTACAATACAGCGTAATAATGTTTCACTTGATTTGCTACTTTTATATTCAGCGCCACTTTACCGCACTCCCTAATGTATAGAAGAATTTCAAAACTAAGGGCTATTTTCTCAAGTAGCTTTTAAAATTTATCTGTCCTGCACATTTTGTAAAACAAATACTTCTTGAGAAAACGGCCCTAAATAAACTTTATTTAGAAAATTTTCTCTTAAAAAATGCGTCAATTATATATATTATATATACCAAGATTACGAAAGACTTGTGTTTTTCGATTCAAATCTGCAAGCTTTGAATTATTTTCGCTTAATACCATAAAAGTGATGCAGCTTTCCGAAATTGAGCTTTAACTAGCTAATAATTTTCTTTTTGATATATCAATAATTCAGCGCTAATTTATTTTAAATCCCTTCCGATTTTTCATACTCTTTGCACACTTAACAACAAATTTTTATCTACGAAATTTTTATAAGCCACTTTTTATTGAAATCATAAATTCAACTATTACATACATATATTAAATGCGTAAGTGACAGCTTGATTGTTTAACAGCCCGGACAATCAATGCTTTTAGCTATTCAGCATGAAATTGCAGTGAGCTGTTGGAATACTTTAAACACAAACAGGCATGTGTATACACATTTATTATTCATTTTCCATTGGTTTATAATAGTAATGTGGCACGAAAAATCTAGCTCTTTAAATTATTCAGCGCTTCAGTTATGCAAACTATTTTTAGTTAATTCTTGCAAAAATAATGTGATATCTTTTGCGTATTAAGTGTGATTTTTAGTAGCCAAATATTATTTCATAAAATATCTGGCGCCTATTCAGCACACTACCAAAACCTTGGTATGTATTTTCAATGTCACAAGTTCTAAAAAGTACTATTCAGCGTCGATTTTGAACCATTTTTGGGGCATTGACAGTCTCTAATCAGTATTCAGCGCCTTTAAAGTGAAAATTGCTTGCCTAATAAGTTATTCAGCGCTGCTAAAATGCTAAATTTGTGTGTAAATATGCACTTAGAACGTGCAACAACTAATTCAGCTCACTTAAAGTTTAAATAAAGGCAATTTTTTAACATTGCACAGAACAAATATATTTTTTAGATTTCTATATATATTTAAAGTAAAAATTTTTCCTTTCAGATTGAATACCCCAGCCCTGCTGCACCTGGCTATGGACAAAGTACTGAGACGCAGAGTCTAATTGATCAACAATTTGCGGAGATAAATAAACAATTTAATGAGCTGAATATGCAATATAATAGTATCAGCAATGCAGAACAACCGCCTGCTTTCTATAATCCAGATACACAACAGCAACAGCCACAGCCACAACCACTTCATGATTTGAAAGCTGATCCCTATAATCAACAGCCACAATTAGCAGTAGCTACGGCCGATTACAACAACCTTCAGGGGAGCGCAGATCAGCAAGCACCTGCAACATACACAGATGCCGATGCGCAAAAGTCGGTTGATGCCAGCGATGCCTATGCTTACTACAATCAGCACCAGCAGCAACCTTATCAAGGCTATGGCGCTGAATCAATGGCTGCGCAAAATAATGCTGGAGCCTATGACTACTGGGCACAACAGCAACAGCAGCAGCAGCAACAGCAACAACATGTTGGTTATGGTGATGAGGTAAGTGGAGAGCGTGCGAATGTGCGAATATTGCGCTGAGTGGATCCTTCTGGATTTGGGGTAGTTAGTGTATGGTGAGGGGATAAACAAAAAAGGGCAGATTCATGAAAAAAATGTGTATGAAGAAAAATTGTTGATATGTCTGAGAAAATGTTCCTGGCTTGCATTTTCCAAATTGCGCATAGATACACAAATATTTATATAGCTTTCGCACGGCGTGGAGATGAAAGGCTATGTTTGGCAGCTACTGAAAATACCAAAATGGCCAAATAAAAGTGTTAAGGAAAAATAAAACAAATGCTGTGGTGCGAAGATACAGTGTCTTAATTTTTGCAAAAGTTGGTAAACAAGAAATTACTACTTATTGCCGTTAATTTGTCGACTGATTGTACTAAAAGCTTCTAAAACATTCAGAGGATTTTGGAATTATTGGAGACGTATTTATGTGTAAGTTTCTATAATTGAAATCATGTTTGGACACTTTTTTGTAGAGTTTTTATTCCCAAATTAGTTTTGGAGGTTCTAGTGTTATTTTAATGCATTTACATTTTGGAGACTGTCGAAAAAGCCGTGTAGACTTTCATGTAGAGTTTTTAAATTAGGGCCATCAATTGAAAACTTGGCGACTTTGAAGACATTTTGGAATGCCATGGGGAATCTTGTGGCGTTGTAATTTCGGTTTTTTTAGAGTATTTTCTCTCCCTCACTTAATAGTTTCTATTAGTATATTAAACCAACATACATATGTATGTATATCTAAATTATGTAGCACAATTTTCAATAGCTTTTTTTTTATAGAATTTCTAAACTTGTATCGCTTTCAAAAAGCGACAGACAACAACTTTGGAGAGTTAGTAATCATCTTCGTATTATACTTTATACTTTTATTTGGCCAGCTGGGTATTGCTTAAAAATTTATTTACCTTTCTCATGAATTTACCACAATCCTACCAATTTGTACACATGCTTGCCATAAATTTTACTGGATTTGATGGAAATATCGCCACTGCAGTACTCTACAAATGATGATAACGAACTAGTGTTAGCAGCAACAGACCCAGCAGAAACGCCATCTCCAGAAGACTCCACTAAAAGTGTTGAACAAAATTTAAAATCAAATGATATATTAACATTGAATCAAGCGCCTGCCAAGGCAAGATCAACAGCAAAGACATACACAACCACTTTGGAGAGTGGCAGTAAGTTGCAGCAACAACAACCGTTGAAAATAACCGCTGCAGCAGCCAAATTATATAACAGTTATGATGGTCCGCAGACGCGTGTTGCAAAGAAGCTTAACACCAATTACAAGAACAACAAGGAGCAACAAAAGCAACAACACTCAGCGAAACTGGCTACATCTTTTCTAAGTTCGCCGCCAGATGTAAGTAAACAAAGTAATGTTTTGCTACCGCAACAGCAACTTCAGCACCAACAGCAGCAGCAGCAACAGCAAAAAAATCAGGTCTTGCCAAAAATGCCAAATAAACTGCTAGAGCAACAACAAACGCTTGCACAAAAAATAAATGCATTTAATGAAAAGTCAAATAGAAATTTAAGCACAAATTCGAATTCGCATTCGAACGGGAGCGGTATAGTAAAGCGTGTCAATTTCAATCTGCCGCAGGAGGTGGAAGTGGTGGCGGAAAGGGTAGAGGGGCCCAGTAAGAAATTGCCACCACCACCACCACCAGCTACCGGTGGCAGTGTTGCCAATTTTAGTACTAAAGCTAGTTGTAGTAGAAATAGTAGTAGTAGCGGGAGCTGTAGCAGTGGTAGTAGTAGGGCCGAAGTCGCAGTAGCGCACGCCAAGGCGGTCGCAGCTGCGGTGATAACTGAAAGTGGAGACACTCAAGACGCTTCCAACAAAGGCTGTGTTGCGTCACAATCCAACAAAGCGCTCGCCAGCTATCAATCAACAAACACCGACACTTCCAGCAAACCTCTTTCAATGCCGTCGTGCAGCAGGCATGCTTCTAAAGGCAATAGCTTAAGTAGTGGCAGAGCCGCATCTCATCGCCTCCACACTGCACCGTACAAACAAATCGTCTACAACGGCACCTATCCCATCGATATGCCCCTGCAGTCGCGTTTCCAAGCGTTGGGCCGCGACTATGATCCCGAAGCGAATGCTGAAACGGCGCGTTGCAAGTATGCGCACATGCTGAACGACTATGATTTGGATGAATGCGATATACTCGGCGATGTGGCAGAGGAAGATGAGGACGAGGATTTCGATGAGGATGATGATGACGATGATGACCTCCTGGTTGATGATCTAGATGGGGATGTAGAGGGCATACCATATGATTTGGAAGAGTTGATTGCTCAACAAGAGCGCCCGCAGCGAAGCTTCTTCAGCCGACTGGGTATCATCAAAGAGGCGAGAAGCGTGTCGTTGGCTAGCAGCAGCGGCGGCACCGCCGGCCGTGGTGGTGATACTGTTTCCACTAGCAAACATCATGCAGTATGGTCTATGCAGGAGCTTATTGCCAATCCATCAATACCGCTAAACTATGAGAAGATGTGCCATGAAGTTGAGCAAAGTTTGACGTCTTTCGAAAAGTACCTGGACTCGAAATCGATTGAGCAACGGAAGACGCAGCAGCAGCCAGTGCGTACCTTCGATGTGGATGGGCCGATTGGAGAGGCGCACGAAAAGAAACATATTTAAGGGGCAAAATGAGGGCAGAGATTTAGCGATTTAGTCGTTGTGCAAAAAACTGTACACATACCCCTTAGTTGGAATTTTATTAGAAGTGTGTAGAGAATTTTACTTTACACTTTACTGCTTTCTTTACAAAAAATTTTTATTTGTAAAAATGGCAATTCTTAAAAGAATGTGGTTCGGAATACTGCATTGGGAAGTTTCGTTGTTTTTAATTCACATCATATGTATGTATGTATGTATAGATATGTTATATGTTTACTGTGTGTATTAGAAACTACATATTTTACCTGTATTTTACCTTTGTGTATCAGGAATACATACCTCCCTATATTTAGTTCAGACTCGAATTCGAAAAACTCGAAAATGTATGTATCTCACAGTATATTATAACCCATTTGCACCAAAAGCTTAACTGCTGCTATTTTTTTCGTACCTTTTTGCTTTTAGTCTTTTGTTTGCTTGTACTTTTCATAAGCAATTACCCCCTTCGAGTTGTAATCTCCTTTTTCCAATAGTTACAAACTGCAGTTAAGGCTTGGTGGAAATGAATTGGTTAGATAAACAATATAAAAATATCGAATTTATTTTTTTTTTTTATGAGAACTCATACGCACCATTTATCCGTCGCTCGAATTGTTACTCAAAATATGAACTCATCTTAAGAGTACAAAAATGTAAAAAAACTTTTGTTGGAGGGCTCATAAGGATTCTGGTACAAAAATGAACCTAAAACAAATTAAGAAACTACTCCTTTGATTTAAAATATTTAATTTTAGACCAAAAAAAATTTATCATTTCCTAATGACGTATTTCCACTGGGTGCTAAATGACAAAAATTTCAATGAAAAAGTTAGCTTTTGAAATATACCAATCGGTTTTCACATGCCTTTGTTTATATGGTAAACATTTATTGTGATTTTGTCATTTTTATGCCTAATGGAAATGGTATAAGAAATTATTTTTCTCTGGCTACCAACATAAATATTTTTTTAAAAATCTGCCAGGTAATTTCTTTTTTATATGTTGAGATTTGAAACGAGAATGAGTTTCCATGAAATTTAAGACTGAAAATTTTAAACCTATTCCCCAACCTATTTCCCAAATATCTTCAAAAAATTCCAAAAAACAATTTTCAACGTAATGAAACAGGGGATTCTGTCAAACTCGCCTCGAAAAAAGTAGCGGGACTGCTGAATGCGCTTTCTCCTTCGCTCTACATCTTGGTCATACTGGCATATTTAGAACATTTTATGTATGTACATTAATTAAAAATATTTATATTTTTGGCTTTTGTAAAATTCCAAATTGGCCAAATAGGGCCTTTCGCACTGAAGGTGACAAAAGTAAAAAAAATGCCGTGTGGAAACGAAATTAATGACCATTTTTTGTAAAATTAATGACGCAGGTATTTTTAACGTCCAACTTTGTCATTAAAATTACTGTCATTTAATGACCGGTGGAAATGCGGCATTCGAATTTTCAAATTGAAAAACCCGATACACTTTAATCTGACAAGGAAAAAAAAATTTGGTTTTTATTGTAGTGCAAATTTTTAACATTTTGAATCACACACAAAATCTGTAGAAAAAGACTAAATCTAAAGTTTTGAAAATTTGTATTTAAGAAATTATTTTTGTAATTAAACAAATTCATAACTTCACCAACACGTTTTTGTATTAACAAATAAAAGCATTTTTAGGTGAATTTCGTTATGGTAACAATTTGAGCGAATCTACCCATATTTTTTCCATAGAAGTATTTTACAAAGATGTATTAAAATTATTATTTTTTATTTAGTTTGTGAGATTTTGATGTTTTAAATTTATATTGCGTTTCTGTTTGAAATGTGCAGATATGTTTTGAACATTTTAAGTAATTAAAAAACAAAAAAATAAATTTGGAATATCTATTAACTTTTTTAAATTTTTTTTTATACATTTATCACATAATTTTTTATGATGTTTTTTAATATTATTTTATGTTTTCGTCAAATTGGCTACGAAATTGCATAAACACATCTTGGCCCCAATAATTTTAATTATTTATTTTTTATACCTCTAAAAATGTAATGGCATTGAGAAGACAATGCCTCTTAAGCGTGGCGAGCCCTTTTTTGATATAATAAATAACACGAGACAAAAAATCAACAAGTTTTCGCTAGCAGAAAGTATTTGTTTTGTCTTTAAGGAACTTATTTTTTCATTAAACATTAATACAAAAATTTTAAAAACTGAAATTGTAAAGTATTGTGCTAATTGTAAGCAAAGCGACACACAAAAAACCAAACACAAAAAAATGTGCTGACATGAATTGTTTTTCTTGTAAATTAAAGCTGAATAAAAAAAATCATGAATTTTAATCGAGCGATTTTGTACTAAGCATATTTATTTATAAAAATTATATTTTAGTAACAAAAAGTGTAAACACCAGACATTGTGTAAGCTGCTATGCATTAAAGCTCCGCGCAAGCTCCTGCGAACGCTACCTTGGAGCTTTCTCAACTGTAACATGAAGATCAGCGATTCTGCGACATATTTAAAAGTTCGAAATTATTTAAAACTGAAACAATTTCTTCAACAAAAAAAATACATACTCGAAAGCTTTGGGAGCACCTGCGTTGCCTGTTGTCTACGAGTACAAGCTGACTGTCGAAAACTTCTAGCAACATAAGCAGCATTTTTGACTTAAAGTTCATTTGCCGCTTTGATAAAACTTGTGCGCATACTTGATCTGCCCATGAAAGCTTTTGAACTTTACAAAATTTGGAGCTTTTACACTTTAAGCTATTATCCTTGACTATTAATACTACTTACTAACTCCCTTACAATATTTAAGTTTACTTTTTTTTCTTTTCTGGCTTGCCAAAAACCGGCTTGAGCTTTTCATAACTTACAACTGCTTTTCAGATCTTTTACAGCTAAAACTTGTACAGTTTTTTTTCTTTGAACATCTAATTTCCTTAACAAAAATGTAATATTTACACTTCGTCAATAACCTTTAGAATGCGCGCCCCACCATATCCATGCCCAAGTCGAAAAACTATGGCTCAGATAATGATAAGCAGCAGAAGGGTAGCGCCAACGCTGGTAACCGGAAGGGTGAGCAGCAACGGGGTAAAATTGATGGCGGCAAGGAGGCGAATAAGAGGTGGGTGGACAAATAAATACGAATAAAATATTAAAATAGGTCAAAAGCTACAGAAAGCTCTACAAAGCTTTGAAGATAATGCGAAAGCTTCTAAGTTAAAAGTATCGTACTTTTATAAAGAGCAAAAAGGAAAAAAAATATAGTGATTAAGCTTTTTAGTGCCTCTTTAAAGCTAAACTCATCGAATCGTTTGAGATTTTTTGAAAGCTCAAGGCCTGTGCAAATCTTCCACGATGCAATACATACAGTTGAATAACGATTCGAAGTTGTTTAAATATTTTTGCCCTTCTCGTGCTTTTATATAGCTTATTTTTTTGCCGAGAGTTTTCGCAGAGCTTTGCAACTTTTGCTTTTGATGAGCCTCTGAAATATTTTTTCTTATCACAACCCATTTCTTCTGACCTTCACAGTTCCCAGCAAGGCAATCAAAATTCCGGCTGGTTCGGCGGCATTTGGAATAAACTTTCACTCAAGCCGAAAAATCAAATGATCTTGCCGGATGACAAAAATCCCAGCATTGTTTGGGATCCAGAGAAAAAGCGCTGGGTGAACACGGATGGCGATGCAGCAGCCGAGGAAAGCTTTAAACCGCCACCAAAAATGAGTGATATAGTGGCGCATGCGCCACCAGCGGCAGTACCTACCGTTGCACAGCCATACCAGCAGCAGCAGCAGCTACAACAACAGCAACCGCAACCGATGCAAGCACAGCAGCCTTCACCACTACTCGACACTCATCAATATGCTGCTGTTTCAGCGCCAACACCCGCAGCTGCACCGGCGCCCTCTGCTTCACCAGCGCCTGTCTCCGGCTATAGTGCGCATGCGCTGACTGGCGCGGATACTGCAGGTGCGAGCAAAACGCCCAGCTTGCAGTCGAATATGTTCAAAATGCAACGCAATCGAAGTGAGTGTTAAAGTGATTGCTGGGAAACACTTGTATGCGAAGTGTAATTTTTAATTTTTACATACTTTCATTGCAGCTTTGAAGAACTCCTACGTTGATGTGTTCAATCCCTCAGGTGCACCCATGAAGGCGACGGAGAACGTATTGGCACCAGCTTTGCCGCCAGCTGTAATACCTCAAAGTGGCTTTTTTATACCGGGACCAGGGCCAGTGGCCGCTACTGGGGATAATAATGATGCTGGCGCATATCAGCAGCAACAGCAACAACAACAAATGCCACAACAAGATGTGAGTAGACATTTTTTTATTATATTAAAGTTTATGTAGGAAAAAAGGGAATTTTAAAATAAAAATATTGATATAAAATAAAATAAAAAGAAAAATAGGAAAATAGTTAATAAAAAATAAATAAAAAATTTGTTATAAAAAATAAAATACGACTTATAAAAAAACCAAAGTGATAATTAGAAAAGAAAACAATTAATAAATAAAAATTAATAATAAAAATACAAAAAAATTACAAACAAACCAAAATAAGAATTTAAAAAAATTGCGAAAATAAAATGTATCTAATAAATAAACTTTGTGTATGTATTTTATTACAAACAAACACTCAAAAAGGTATAAATGAAAAAAATAATAGTAACACTGATGAAAACTAAAAAAGTGCATAATAGATAACAAGAATAATATCATTTCAACAGAAAATAACATAAAAAAATTATGTATCGAAAATAATATATTTTTTTTAAATTTATGTTTTTAACTTTCTAAATTTTTTGCTCTCTTTCTGCTCTTCTTCCTTTCAGGTGCCACAATTCTACAATCCAAATCAATTCGGCGGTGGTGCTTATTAGATAGGTCATGTCTACACTCACACACACACACACGTACACATGCAAAGACACACAACTCAACTGCATAACACTAAAACAAATAGAGGACAAAAAATAGACAAGCATAAATCAACAACTTAAACTAAATAGTAATAGCAACGAAAACGAATTAACAAAAAAAAAGTTCATTCAACCGTAAAATATTTGTATTATATAGCAAAAATAACGAAAAAACGAGAAATCAATAAAAAAAAATGACTAAAATGACTTAGTAGCGGCTTGGTTGGCATGCATAGCAAGCATTTGATTGAAAGCGGTGAGCGCATTAGCAGTTATTTGTGCGTGTAGTTATAGCTTAAGAACACTAGCAAATGATATGAAAGACAAAAATTCACGTAAAAAATAATGAGTTAATTAAAATAAAAAGATATGTAAAAGGCAAGTGCAGTGGAGAAATATGCAAAAATATATACATATGTATAACGGGAAACTGGTAAATTGATTTAAGTAATATGTCTATGTATGTAGTTATAAAAATTTAAAGCGAAACGTTACTAACACATAGTGTGTACGAAAAAAATGCAGACGACGAAAAAATTATGCGACTATGTGAAATATATATATCTATGTAACATTGTGCTTGTAATAATTTGTAATTTTTAATCAAATAAAGAAAAAGGCTCTTAAGAAACAAACACAAAATACAATTCAAATGCTTCGGTTAATAGACACTCGTGCATATATCCATATACTATACAGACATACATACACTTATACATAAAAATACAGACATACATACCTAGTACGTTTACCGCAGATTATGTGTTTATATGTTTGAATTACCTTAAATCTGTATAATTAAGTGATCTATTATCTATCACTATTATTATTACTGAATATTATTACGATTATTTAACAAGAAAACAAAAATATATATATTGTATTGTATTGTAATTGTTTGTGAACAGCATTGCTTCAAGATATTGTTATATAGTTTTAGTTCTTAAAGACAAAACAAATACAAAATGCGAAACGGAAACGGAAACTAAATACAACTTTTTATTATCTGCTACAGCAAAACTACAAAAGAGATAAACGACCCCTTAAAAACTGGTTAAACAAATTGTTTCAGCTCCATACATATGTATGTACATATTTTTCAGACTAAAAAATATGGAAAAGTATCGGGGAAAACTATTAATTCAAAATTTCTAGAGATACGAGTAGTACTTGCTAATCTCATGAAACTTGATTTGCGAGACTCAGAGGGATAAGGAATCGTCACCATCCTCAAAATGTGTTTTTTTCCAACGGTGGTTTTTGGATCTGAACCAAATTGTGTATTCCCAAACGTTAGTATTCGTAAATACGTGGTAGCGTTTTTACACTTCCCCCTTCATCTACATAAAGTCGCCTTTCTTAACTTCTTATCTTAAAAATGATAAAATTAATTCATATATTTCCATAATTTTTCGAATTCAGATAATTTGATCGGGTGTTAAATTATCGTTCATATGTAGATTATCCTCATTTTTGAGCTTAACTCCCTAATCTGTAATTAGAAAAAGAGATTAGCCATAAAAAGTTCGGTGTCCAACCTCGTTTTATCGATTAATTTTGCGAAGAAGAGGAGTAATGTGAAATGTGGAAGTAAAAAAAAAATGGCCGCTAGCAAGGAAAAGAGGTTTGTAAAGATATTTCTAATAAAATATTAAGTTAAAATATATTTAAATTGCTTAATATAGCAGAAGAAATTGATCACAGTGACACAGAGAGGAAACTTAACTTCTCCTCGAGTTGTGAAAATAAAAAGCACAACAAATTTGACGGCTACTAATCTGAGATTTGCGTGGGTAAAGCGGGTGATAAACAAACGAGTTTTGATTGAGACGTAAACGTACTTTTAGCACATCAAAAACATAAAATCCATGATAGGCAGCAAAATTATCGATTATATCGATTTCGTTCCATAAGTTTTGAAAAATTTATATCTTCTCATCTTGAAATGCGACACATTTATGTATTTAGTTATCTCTTTTCGATATTCAGGTAATTTTATCGATTTGAAAACCGTTACTTATTTTTGAAAATGTATTTTTTAGCATTCGAAAAATACAAGCTTGTTAAAAAGTTCGCTAGTCGGCAATAAATTTTTGTATCCGTTTTGAAAAAAAAATATATTTTTTTTTAATGGAGAACTACCTTCCCGCGTAAAAAAAAAAAAAATAATATCATAAATTTGCGGAAATTTCGCTCTTCGCGAACCTTAGCAATTTTTTTTGTGCTCAATATTTTTGTGAAAAATGTTAATCCTCCTTCAATTTGCCATAGGTCTCCTAAGACAAGAATTATGTTTGATGACATTTTATACGTACAATTTTATGTATTAAAATTGAATTTTTTACCAAGAAGTCGAAATTTTAATCCACTGAAAAAAATATTTCTGATGAGATGGACCAAAATCCTACA